CCCCAGCGGCCCGGCGCGGACGCGCGGCTTGCGGCCGCGGCGCGAGGGCACCCCGTTGCAGCCGTCCTTCTTGAGGTGCCGGTGCAGGTGGTCGGAGCGCACGAAGGTCTTGCAGCAGCTCTCGCACTGGTAGGGCCGCAGCCCCGTGTGCACGCGCATGTGGTTCTTCAGGTCGTAGTTGTGCGCGAAGGCCGCGCCGCACTGCTGGCACAGGTACGGCTTCTCGCCCGTGTGCTTCCGCATGTGCACCTTCAGCTTGTCCTGCCTGCGGGCGGGCGCGCGCGTCAGGGCCGGGCCTGGACCCGGCGGTGCCGCCTCGGGCCCGTGACTCGACCTCTCTGAGCTCCCTTCCTGGCCAGAGCAGGAGGACGGGAACGGGCTCCCCCCCCACCCGGGGTTCCGCCAAGTGGCAGGTGTGTCCATTCCTGAGCGCCTGCTGAGCACCAGGCCCTGTTCCAGGTGCTGAAATTATTACAGGGAACAAGGGACGATGCCAGGGGGGGTGCTAACAGAGAGGGTGACCAGCCGTCCTGCGTCCCAGGAAAGCCCTCAGTCCCTACGGTTGGTCGTCATCGTAACTGAGTCCCCACCCAGGGCCCCCAGTCCTCTGCCTCTCTCTGCTCCACCCGCCGGCGAGGTCCTGGCTGGCACCCCAATGTGCTAAGTGCGAGCCTACCACAGGGCCTTTGCACGTGCTGTTCCTGCTCCTGGAGCACTTTTTTTCTCCCAGGTCTTCACAACTGAATTTTGGCTCTTCTGTCTCCCACCCCCATCCCTCGTGCCACCACCATCTGTCTTATTTGTGTTCTGGCTTCGTTGTTTCTCATCTGTCTCCTCGACTGGACTGTGAGCCTCGAGCCAGCAGGGACTGGTGTGATTCCAGGCCCCTCTGTCCATCTCGCCCCACAGGGCACAGAGTGGACCCAGCTCAGCCTGGGGCCCTCGGCCCACAGAGCTGGTCACCGAGTCAGCCCTGGGGCGACTGCTCTGCTCACACGTGGCTCCTAAGACCTTGAAATGTGGCCAGAAGTGCAAAAGGCCCCCCAGATCCCGAGGACCTCATTTCCTCGCTATAGCGTAAAACAGCTCATTTATAACTGGGCACGTTGATTCCGTGTTGAAACGGAGCTAACGGGTTACGGGAAATACAATTAAAATGACTTTCCCGTGTTCCTTTTACTTTTTAAATAAGTGGCACCAGAAAACGTACAGTCAAGGAAGTGGCTCACGTGATACTTCTATCACTGTGCTGGTCCATACTCTCGGGAGTGGATTCCTGCCTGGAATCCACAGGGCAGGGGCGGGGACCTGGGTCTCCAGAGCATCTGATCTGCTCCTTGCTGCAGCTCCTGTGCCCACGTCTAAGCCACTCTAGCTCTCTTCCTTCTCACACCCACCAGAATGAGAGCTTCTTCAAGACAAGGACTGACAAACTCCTACTCATCCTTCAAAGCCCCACCTCAAATGCCCCTCCTCCTCCAGGAAGCCTTTCCCTGGGCTCTCCCTACGCTCTTCCAGCCCCAGGTCCCTCCCTCTGGCACCGCCCACAGAGCTGGCATCCCTACTTGCTGTAACCCTTCCATGGCGCCCTGTTGCCCTGAGGGTCAAAGCCTGGCCCTGTGCAACCCGACCCTTGCCTGCGTTCTGGCTTTGCTCCCCCTCTGTGAGCCAAGAGAACTCGGGCCACAATGGACTTGTTGCTCCCTGGACTAACTGGGTCTGTCACCAGGGAGGGGACAAAACTGCCAGAGCTCCCCTCCCCTCGCCTCCCTGAAAGCCCGCTGACATGGCCTCCCAGAGGCCCTGCCGGGAGGCCGGCGCGGGGCTGGGTCACGGAGGGGACAGCAGGGACTCCGACAGTTCTAGCGCTGGGCAGAGGTTTCCCCGGCTGAGGCTCGGAGGCTCAGAGAGGGGAAGTGACCTGCCCTGAGCTGCACAGCGGGGCAGGGGCTGCGACCAGGTGGGGTGGGGGTGGAGGCCACCCCAGTTTCGTCACCCCGAGCCCCGGCCCGGGTAATTATAGCCTGGCCACCACAGGCCCTGCTTACTCAACTCTCTAGTGTGACTCAGAGGGGCCCCTGGCTCCCCAGCCTGGAGGGAGGGGTGGGGGCTGAGGCCCTGGGCGGGGGGCAGAGAGGAGCCAGGTGGGCACGCGGGGGGCAAAGGTGGGCCTAGTGCCCCTTTCTACGGCTCAGTTTCCCCGCCTGGCGAACGGGCTCAGTCCCGGGTTGTGGGTGGGGCGGCCAGAATTCCAGGCCAGAACGTAACTGAGCCACAGGCCCGTGGTTAGAGGGCTGGGGGGCCCCGGGCCTCTGCTTGGCCCGGTCACCTCTCCAGACCCAGGCTCACTGGGCCTCCACCCAGAGACCCCGGAGGGCGGGCCCCCAGCCATCTCAGGACCCCGGTCTGGAGGAAGAGGGGGCCCCCAAGGCTTCCGGCACCCCAGTCTCACCAAAGTAGGGGGGCAGGCTGCCAACCAGACTGCCCGCCTCCAGCCGGCGCCCTTTGCCCCTCGCCTGGCACTCCTGGGCCCCGAAGTCCGGGCCACACCCGCCTCTCCTGGCCTGCTGGGGAGGGGGCTGGGGGTCGGCCCCCAGATCCTGTCCCCGTGGGGCGGGGCCGGGAAGCTGGGACAATGGCCTCTTTCTTCAGCCTGGGTGGGCGTGGCTGGGGGAACCCCAGGGCAGGCGGGGGTTAGGGGCGATGCTGAGTCACCAGGCTTGGCCAGGCCCCTGCACGCCAGCCCCCCGCCCCCACCAGGCTGGCCCACAAGGCCCCGCCAGCCACCTCTGGACTCTTAAGATGGAATCACAAATTCCCCCCAGCCTGGCCTCAAACTCTTCCTGTCCAGGGACCAAGCCCAGTGACTTCGTGCTTTTCCTCCACTGCTCTGCGATCCCGGGGCTGAGCTGGCCTCAGGGCCTTTGCACTGCCCTTCCAAGGCTTCCTCCCTCACCTCCCTCAGGGCTCGCTCTCTGTTGAAAGCAGCGCCCACGGCCGCTCCCCCCCCAATTCTCTGCCCTCTCTTTCTCTCTAGCACTTTCCACCAACTAGCGTTATCAGTTCTGTGGTTTTCTCCGCACATGCTGTCGCCCCCAAAGGGATTTTGGCCCGTCTCCACTTCTGCGTCCCTGGCACCTAGAACGGGGCCTGGCACCCAGCAGGCACTCCATAAATGCAGGCTGAATGGAACAAGCTCCCTGGGCTCACGGGAGACTTCAGGGGACACCACCAGCAGAGCCCTCCGCTCCCCACGAGGCTGTCACCTGCTCCCGGGGCAAAACTCCCCTCCAGCCCCGCTGAAAAGAAGAACCACCTCTGGGAAAAGAAGACGAGCGACTCCAGCGCCCTTCTTCCCAGCCTCCCGCGGTTCTGCACCGCCAGGCAAGCCTTATATTCTAGGGGGCCCTCTGGTGGGGCCTGCACTCCCCTCACCCACCGGCCGCTCTCAACAGGCGCACGGGGGGGTACCCCAAAAGGAGAAGGCACCATTCCAGGGCAGGCGGCGTGGAGCTGCACTCAGAGACAGGTGTGTGTGTGCGCGTGTGTGGAGGAAGGGGGGCTCTGTGTGTGGCTGTGGTTTGTACCAAGGGCCCAGGCGCCCCCTGCCGCCCCCCGCCCCCTGCTGCGGCGGCGCCAGCTCACCTGGTGAATCGGACCTTGCAGATGCTGCACTCGTAGGGCTTCTCGCCTGTGTGGGTCCGGATGTGCCGCGGCAGCTTGCCGGCGCCCTGGATGACCTTCTCGCAGATGGGGCACTTCTGGAAGGCCTTGGCCCGGATCTTCTTCTCTACCTTCTGCGACCAGGCCGGGTAGACGTCGCCGTCGTGGGCGCCGCTGAAGTACTTCAGGTAGTAGTCCACGACCCCCTTGTCGTCCGCCCGCGACTCCTCGTCGCTGTCGCCCGCCGCTGCCGCCCCCGCCCGGCCCACCGACGACATCATTTGCTGCAACAGCGTGCTGGCCGCCAGTCCGTCGGCGTCGGCCCCGTCCCCGTCCTCGCCCTCCGCCGCGCCCGACAGGAAGCCCGGGGAGTCACCCGGCTCGGGGGCCGCCTCCGACAGCGAGGCTGCCTCCTCCTCCCCGCCCCGGCTGTAGTGGCCGTTCTGCGTGGCCGTGGCTGGAGGGGCCCCGGGCGGCGGGAAGAGGCCACCGGTGGGGGCGTCCTCGTCCCGCTCCGGCCACAGCCCCGGGTTGCTGTCACCCTCGTCCCCGTCCCCGGCCGGGGGCCGCTCTGTCGGGGGGCCTGGCCCGTAGAAGTCCAAGCCGTTGCAGTCGCCGGCGGCGACGGCGGCCACGGCAGCAGCCACGGCCTCCTTGGTGGCCTCCAGGTCGTCATCAGAGGCCCCGAAGGCGGACCACGGGAAGGAGGCGGCAGCGGCAGCGGCCGCCGGGGGCAGGCTGTTCATGGGGTTGCTCTGGAAGAACTCGAGGTACTCCTTGGCCCGGAGGAGGTTGCGCTGATCGATTTGGTCTACGAGGTCCAGCTGCCCGGCGTCGGCGCCCGCGTCGGCCGCCAGGATCTGCCGGTCCAGCAGGTCGGCGCACACGTGGCTCACGGCGGGGATCTCGAGCAGGCGGGCGGCGCTGAGGATGTCGCCCACGTTGGCCGTGCTGACGGTGAGCGTGGCCGTGTAGGCGAAGTCCATGAGCGCCGTGAGGGCCTCGGCGCTCACGAAGTCGATCTCGTACACGTTCTGCTGGTCCACCACGGCCCCCGACGTGAAGAGCTTCTTGAAGTACTGACTGCAGGCCGCCAGCACCGAGCGGTGCGTGGGGAACTCGCGGCCCTCCACCAGGATCACCACGTCACACAGCAGGCCCTGTGTCCGCTGCTCGTTGAGGCCACTCAGGATGTCGCTGCTGTGGTCGGGGAACGGGATCCCGATGGGGCCGTCCACGCCGCCGGCCATCTTCCGCGCCGAGACCTGCAGGGCCGGGGAGGGAGGGCAGGTGTGAGGGTTGGGCGGCCCACCGGAGCGTTTCGAAACACTCTGAACGTGGCGCCCCACTCTGCCCCCCGCCCAGCCTCAGTTTCCCCAGCTGAGCATCGGGGCGGCGATGTCCAGGTCTGCATTATCTACATGAGGTGATGCTGTTAAGACCCACACTGGGTGCTTGAGAGACGACCTCAGGCACCCTCCCCTGCACTGGAGGGCCCCAGGAGGGCCCGCCCCAGGGGGGATGTGAGGTGGGGCGGGAGCACACAGTAGGTGCTCAACATATGCTCTGACATGAGTTGTTTCCTGAAGAATCTGAGCGCAGGCTTCTGCCCATACCTCTTTAGGAGGCCACGGTGGTGCCCCTCATAAGGCACCCACTATGTGCTGTGATGCCTGACCCCCCACAGAGCGAGCAGAGGGGGCGCAGGGAGGGGAGGCCATGAGCCCGAATTCAAACCCGGGGTGGCTGACCCCAGCAGAGCCAATGTCGAGCCAGCCTAGCCGTCTGTCCCCGCCTGGCCCCTCGGCCTCTCTGACCCTCACTCCTGCCTCCTGGTGAGGCCTGGTCTCTTGGGGGGCTCTGAGTCAGCAGGAAGGGGCGAGGCCCAGCCCCGGGGACCGGGCCGGGGTCACTGGGGCCATGGGCGTGGCCTGGTGGGGTGGCGACACTGCAGGATAAACCCCTTCCTGCCCCTCCGAGCCCCCAGGATGTGGCTGGGCCCTCACAGTGAGTAAGGGGGAAAACCGGGCCACCGCCGGACGTGCCTTCTCCCAGCCCGCCTGGGCCAAGCCCCCCACGGAGGAGCGGGGGGCCAGGGGCCTCCTGTCCACATCCTGCCTGTCCAGCCCCTCTCTGACTCTCGGCCACCCTGCCTGTGCTGTTCAGCCCAGAACAAGCCCCTGCCACTCTCTGGGCCTCAGTCTCCCCATCTGTCAAATGGGCCTTTGGAAGAGCCGTGCAGTGCTGGGACTCTGTCTGTCTGTCTCTCTGTCCCGCCCCTCTCCCCCTCCCTTTTTCCGCCTGCCCCGGGGCCGTGACTCATCCACCCACTCGGGCGCTTGTGCAACCTCTGGCTCCTGTCTCCGCCCAGACACCCTCTCCGGGGAGCCCCTGCTGCCCCAAGCACCCAGCACAACGCTCCTTCCTCCAGGCCCGTCCGCTCGGCCGGCTCTCAGGCCAGAGCCCCCGACATCTCCAGGGAGAGACCGCCTAAGGAGCCCGGGACCCCCGGCAGCCCCTTGAGTGGGACGCAGGCAGCCGGCCTGGCCAGGGATCGGGGTCGGTCCGGCTAGACCCAGGGCCGCCCCGGGCACGGGGTCCAGGCCGCGGGGCTGACACAGAGGCCTCTGTGCCCCACTCGGCGGGCACGACGCTCCCCGGGCCGCCTCTCTCGGGTCTGCCCTCCTTCCCTCGACCGCCCCAGCTGCTCGCTCCCCTGCTCGGCCTGCCCGAGGTGGGGGGGGCTCAGATGTGGCTGCTGGTGCAGGACAGGGTGGGGGGGCGACCCCACTGGAGGCGCCCCCCCCGGCGCTCCCACCCCCTGGCACCATCTGCCGTCTGGCCGGGGCCCCGGGAGCGAGTGGGCAGATGGGCTCCGGATCAGCCCGGCCTCAGCCCCTCCTCGCGCCCCCTCTGAGCCGGGCCACCAAGGCCTCAAGATGGCCACCCTGGCCCTGCTTGCCGTCGTCCCCCCAGGTGCCCCGGGGTCCCCTCGGGCCTCGAGGCGTCTCGGGGGCCTCTAGGTGGGGACTTGAAATAGTCCAAGAGACTCAGCCCTCCCCATCACCATGCCGCCCCCCTTCCCACCGGCACTGAGCCCACCGGGCCATGGGCTGGCACAGCCCTATTTGCCGGGAGCCACCAGGCCGGGAAGGAGCAAGCTCGGGCCTTGAACGCGGCCTGGGGCACCGCACCAAGCCCTGGGTCTGGCACTCCAGTGGCTGGGGGAGCAGGGCCACGTGCAAAGGCCTGGGGTGTGGGGCAGCCCGTGGGCCTGGGGCCCATGTGCCTGTCCTCGCCCTGCGGGGGCCTCTGTTTCCCCAGATAACCATTGGAGACTCTTCCCCAAAAAGGGCCGGGCGTGGGGAGGCGCCAGCTGAGGAAGCCCCCACGAGAGTAGCATGCTCCCCCACTTTACAGATGAGAAAATTAAGGCCCAGAGACGGCTACCGTCTGGCTGAGGGCACCCAGCAAGGCCTGGGATCCGGGAGCTGACGGAGGCCAGAGGCTGGCCCCCGTCCCCCAACCCCCCACCTCTTCCCTCGCCCTGGAAACTGAACTGGCTCTGCAGACACCTGACCCACTCTCTCTCCAGGAACACATGCCACCTGCCTGCCACACCTGGGGCCACTGCCCCCGCCCGGGCCTCTCAGGGCCCTCCCTCTGCGATGGGAGAGGAGGACAGCCAAGCCCCCTTGGTGGCTCAGAGGGGGTCCCGGCAGTGGGAAGCACCCATTTGCTGCACACCCACTGTGCGCATGGCATCTTCTCCCATCTACTCCCACCTACAAGGCCCGCTGGCACCTGACGCCACACGTGGCGGCTTCCTGGGTCATGAGGATCCAACGAAACTTCTCTCCTCCAGGAAGCCCCGCCCCCCACCGGCCAGGTCCCCACCCTCAACGGCCAGGGTCCCCTGGGCGCAGCCCACACCCACCCTGGCGTCTTTCATCACAGCTCCGCCCCCACGCTCCTGCCGTGGATTTCCGGGGTGCTGGGGTGCTGACTCGGCGGCCGAGGGGCAAGCCTCGGCAGGCTCCTCCTGGGCCGGAGTGGGGGCGCCCTTGTCCCTCCGGGCTGCTCCCAGGCCTCCCCCGGGCAGCGCACAGTAGGGACGCAGCACATGGCCAGATGAACCAAGGACCAGAGAGCCATGCACTGGGGAGAGCCCACGCCCTGCCCTGCCCACCCGGCGAGCGGCACACCCGGTTCATGCCGGTCCCACCTCCGATCTAGCCTAGGGTCACTTACTGCTGCTTCTTTCCCAGGACCCAGGCCTGCTTTCGGCCCTCCCCAGGGCCTCCTCTATGCCCCGGAACTTTCAGGAAATGCCCGGGCACCTTTGTTTCATCCTCTCCACGGTAAAGCCTGGGGAGAGGCGCAGAGAGGGGACAAGACCCGGGCAAGGTCACACAGCAGACCTGCGGCCAGGTCGGGACTCGGACTCTCTGACCTGGGCAGGCCTGAGCTGCCGGCCCTCAATGGCTGGGGACCTGAGGTGAGGTCAGGGAGCAGCACGTGTCACCCAGGAAGGACCCCAGGACCGTGGGAAGGGTGTACCGGGCACGGGGAACAGCAGAGGCAAAGGCCTGGCAGTGGGCACCCGAGAGAGGGGACCTGGAGGAGGAGGCAGAGTCACCAGGAGGCTTCCCAAGGTCAGGGGCAAGGTGAGGGCTGGGGCCTCCTCCTCCCACCCACACTCCGCAGGAGGGAGAGGGGCGGCCCGCCGGGGTGGGGGGGTAATTGCCACCCGCCGCCTTCCTGGAGGAGTGTCCGGGGTGGGGGGCAGCTTAACGCGGGGTTCAGGCCCCTCCACCCCCACCCACAGACCAGACCCAAGAAGGGACTCTAACACCTACTGTGCGCCGCACATGGCAGCCCGGGCCCAAACCCTGGCTCTTCTACTTCCAGGCTGTGTGACCTCGGGCAAGACGCAGCACCTCTCTGGGCCTCAGTTTCCTCAGGGGTCATGGGAGTGGCAACAGGCTGGGGCTGCGCTAGGCCCAGGGGCCCACTCTCATCCACTTACCAATCTTTGCCCAAGGACCTACTGTGTGCCAGCGCCTGTCCCCAAAGGCTGGTCACCGCCCCGGCTGGTGCATGGGGGGTCTCGAACTTCACCTCTGAGCAGAATTCCAGGAATCCAGCCCCCCTCCCACCTACTATGTGCCGAGGAAGCGTGCGGGGGGCCCAGGAGGAAGCCGGGGGAGCGCAGCCGTCGTCTGGAGGGGAAAACCAGGCCCAGAGAGGGTGGGCGGCCGGCCCAAGGTCACACAGCAAGTGGAGCGCCCAGGTGCAGCTGCCAGGCCCTCGCCCGGCCGCCCCTGCCCCCTCCCAGCCTGGCGGCCTGTGTTGCAAGGTTGGTCCTGACTGGTTACCCCGCCCTGACCTGGTGCCAATCCCTGCCTGGCCCGGTCCCCGGCCCCGGGTTTCATGGGACAGGAATGCAGCGTCCCGATCGGGGGGCGGGGGGCACCCACGGCCCAGGGCGGCTGCCGGCTGCCAGCTGCCGGCCCGCCCCCTGCCCGCCCGTCCTCGCCCTCACAGGCCTCCCTCCGGGCCAGACACCAGCAAACAGGCCCTCGGCCATTTTCTGTGTCCATTTATTGCCCTAAATGGGGAGGGGCTTCCTGCCCGGGCCTTAAAGGGCCAGAGGCAGGAAGGCCGCGGGCCCGGTGGGAAGTGTGCGTGTGGGGCAGATGCAGGGGATGAGGAGGTCATAGGGACCCCATCTGACCCCGGACTCGCGGGTGGGGCCGAGGCCCACCCTGTTCCCACGCTCTGAGTGTTGTCCTGGGTCAGGAAGTCCACCCCGACACCGACAGCGGGCTCCAAGAGGAAGCTCTGGGAAGACAGAGCCATTCCCGGTGAGGTGGAAGGAATGAGCTTCCCGTCACCGGGAGTAAGCAAAGCCAGGCTTCGCAGAATCCTGTCACCGGGTACCCCGCCCTCGCTCAGGCTGCACCTGCTTATCCGAGATGCCCAGGGGAGGCCCAGGTGACCTCTAGGAGACGGCTCCTCCCTTCTACCTCCAGACCTCTCGCCCTCCCCCGAGGCCTGCCTGTCACCTGGAGGCACCTGTGCCACCCCCACTCCCAGCCCGAGCAGGTGGAGGGCTGAGCCTGGGAGCCCCAGACCAAGGGGCCAACAGCCCCCTGGGGCCCGTGCCCACAGACCCATCCCCTCCCGTCACACATCCTGATAGGACGTGGGACCCGGCCTTGTTTTCCAGTCAAACCAGAAAGGCGTGGGTGGGGACGCTTCCACCCAGTGGCCGTCCACAGCCTGCTGGGGGGACAGATGGAGGGGCCGGTCATCTGGCCCCGCTCCTCACGGGCGCCAGATCCTCCGCAGGGCACCTTCCGCCCTCCGGTGCGCCAAATTTGGGACTCGGGCCCGGGGGGCCGGGGCTGCTCCTCAGCCTGGGGGCCTGGTCTTGAGCATCTCAACGTCCATCCCCACAGCTCTGGGAAGGCAGGGTCTGTACCCACTGCCCCACTTTACAGTCAGGACGCTGAGGCTCAGAGAGGCGAAGCGACGTGCGCAGGGTCACACAGCAGAGGGGGGTTTGAACCCAGGCCATCTGGCTCCTTCCTCCCTCCACCACACTGCCCCCAGGGACCAGCAGGGGCCTACATCTCCCCACCCTGGGGGGCTGGAGTCCAGCCACCTCTGCGAACTCAGGGCAGGGGCCTGATCCCTTGGTCATCAGGACAGGGATGCAGGAGGAGCCCCCCAGGCCCCCACCCCGCACAGCAGTCGCTCAACAAACATTCCTGAGAAATCCGAGTAAATCCTTGGGTGACGCTTTTGGCTGAAAGTAATGTCCCCACTGTACTGTCGACAACACTGAGGCCGGCAGCGGGGACGTGACCTCCCGGGTGGACCTCAGGTGGCGGCGAGGGCCGGGCTGGGATTGGAGCGCGCCGGCCCCCACCCAAGCCTGTTCCTCTGGTCCCTGCCGCCCAGGGCTGTTGCAGGGCGGTTTACCATCGCTGCAGGGCCTGGAGCGCAAGGTGACAGGTGGGGGTGCCCAGTGTCTCAGGCCGCGAGACGCACGCCGGCGGGACCCGGGCACTTCCTCCACGAGGGAGGGGAGGACACAACACAGGGAGACCCGCACGCACCATCCGGGGGGACCCCCCAACACCCCATTCTACAGAGGGGGGACACGTGCGCTCCCAGAGGCTGAGGGGCTCGGCCAAGGCCACAGAGCAACGGGTCGGCATTCCCAACCCAGCGGACACCCTCCTGGGGTGGCCCTGCTTCAGAGGGGCTGGCCCTGAGTCTTGGCTCTTGAGAGGTGACCTCAGGCTGCTTGGGAATAATGGGTGGTAAAGCCCACAGCCCTGCCCATCAACAGGGGCCAAGATGCCAAGGTGCAGGACTGTGGCTCAGAGGGGGCGGGAAAGGGCCTTGCGCGCTGTAACAGTGCCGGCCACGGGACGCTGGGAGGCGGGAGGACGGGGCTCACGCTGTGTGACCGTGGGCGCCTTGCTGGCCCTCTCTGAGCCTCTCTGTCCTCTTTGGGCAAAGGGCTTCCTAAGGCCCGGGCAGGCTGCTCTGGGCCGACAGGTCCTGCTATCAACCTCTGGGCCCCCTGGCACACAGGTGGGCAGGCGCCCCTCACTGTGACACAGGGAGGACTTTGGACGTGGCAGGACCTCCAGGGCCTGCCCCAGCTCTGCTGGGTGACCTTGGGCTGCTCTCTGCTTCCCCCTGGGCCTCAGTCTCCCCTGCCAGCCCACAGCCGCTCTGAGGCTTCCTCTAAGCTCCCACACTCGAGATGGGCCTCCGTTTCCTCATGTGGCAACGGACACTGCCACCAGCCCGGCCAGCTCCGGGTCAGAGTGCCCCCAGGAAAAGAAGGGAAGGAAAAAAGCAAACACAAGGCCTCTCTCCTGCCCCGGGGACCTTCCCCACCGGGCGAGGGCTGAGCAGCCAGGCCTCAGTCTCCTGCACAGAGCAAAGGGCGCAGGGCCTCCAGCAGCCACCCGTGGCTGCTCCTGCGCGGCCTCTGCTGTGAGCTGCGTGGCTCCCGGCTCGGGCCAGGGTGCTGACTGGCCGCCACGCAGCCAATCAGAACCGAATGATCAATACCCCCCCCCCCAAAGTGACCCACGAATTAAAATTTCAGTGTCCCCGTTGGCTCCTCTTTCCTTCATCAGACATGCGGATCCCAGGGCTTCGCTGTCTCTTCCAGCCACCGCTCCCACCCCCCCCCCCAGGCTCCCGTCTCCACAGCGATGGCTGGCGGTAAACACAGCCCCGAGCCCGGCCGAGAAGTGCCAGGCCCCGGGAGCTCTGGGGGTGGCCCTGGGGGGAGCATGCCCCCGGCCTGGAGCCCTCCGGCCCGGGGAACAGCAGCAAGGCCCAGGCTGGACTCCTCCGACCTCTCCCCAGACCAACTCTGCCAATAGGAAGTGATCGGCTGGTCCTGGGGAGGGCCCCCTCAGAGTGGGAGCGGCACACGGAGGGTTACGCCCTGGCCCCGCTGGGGGGGTGCTGACATGGATCCCGGACGCCCTCTCCGGCCGGCCCGCTCCCGGAGGCAGCTGGCAGCGGTGGGGGGGTGCAAAGCAAGCCCGCCACCCATGGGTGAGCCAGGTGGGCACGCCCGGGGAAGGGGCACCGACACCTCTCTCACTTCCGCCGGCTGGCTGGGGGGAGAGGAGGTGCCCGCCTCCCCCTGCCACTCGGCCAAGTGCTGGCTGCGTTCCCCAAACATTTAGTGGGTGCCCGGGCCTGGCTGGACAGCAGTCTCCTGCTGCGGTCCACCGGACTCCGCCGCCGGCCAGCCGGCCAGCGCCTCCCGGAGCCCGCAGAGGCCTGGGCCCGGGGGTGCACGGCCCCAGGGCCGGCCCAGGCCCCCGCCTGGTTCCCAGGCCCGGGCTGGGGGAGGGGGCCGGTGCCCGGGCCGGGCGCGCGAGGGAGGGGGCCGGATCCCCCCAGCTCACCCCCTCCTCTGCCCGGGCTCAGCGTTCGCACGTGGTGGCGGCGTCAAGGGGAAGGAGGGGGTCCGGGCCAG